ATCAACAAAGAAGCACTTGAAAATCTGGCTTCCCAGCCCTTGGCTGAGATGACTGAAGGCTGATGACACTGTAATTTGGCAGCTAGTGAGATGCAGTTACTCTCTTAGGCCACTTAGCTCCAGTAAAGTTCAATTTAAATTGTGAAACAATGAAGAAATATAAAAGTTCCAATCAAGAGCATAATTCTCAGTCCCGCTGGCCATAATAAGCTCCTGAAAGATGTTTTCTTTGACTGAATCTCTGCTAAAGTGTACACATGGGGCAGAATACCAGGAAATCTCAGTAGAAAGGCTTGGCATTCACTTTCATATTTTTCCCTTTTCTCATGGGGATGATGTATTTCTGTTGGGGTCATTTATGTTTAATTAAATGATAATTTCTGGATTTACTAGAAATGGTGGGTTGCTAAATTAAATTATAACTCAGTAAAACAATCTTTCCAACTGCTCTCCTTAGTTGTTATTTAATATAAAAAATGTAGCACCTGATCTTTGGTATGATTTACTCTTTTTCAAAATAGAGAAAGTTTCATTTAATGTTAAAAGGCAAAGTTGGCATCTTATTTTATTCTGTAGCTTATAATCCATAAATGTAATTTATTTTAATCCTCAAATTATTCTAGATTTGATCAGTAGAAAAATGTGTGTGTGTATATACATATATATGTACACACACCTACATATATATGTACACACACACATCTGTGTATTTATATATTTGTGGATATAGATACAGATATAGATGATATATAGATACAGATATGGATCAATGGGTCTTGACCAGGGGAGATTTTGCCCACCATGGGGCATTTGGCAGGGTCTCATGATATTTCTGGTTTTTACAACTCAGGATCAGCAGGAGGGACAATCAGAGGGTTCTACTGGCATCTGATGGGTTGAGGCCACAGTTGCTGCTAAACATCCTACAGTGTATCTGCAGTGTATTAGGCTTATCTAAAGCAGATATCTAGAATTATCTGGCCCAGAACATCAATAGTGTCGAAGTTGAGAAACCCTAATTTTTGGGGAATGATAAAGTAAACATGGCAAAATATTGACATCAGGATAAAGGGCATATGGGAATTTTCTTACTAGTTTATAACTTTTCTGTAAGTCTAAAATTGTTTCAAAATTTCAAGTTTTAAATAGGTACAGTGGCAGTTTGGTCTTAACATTCTGAATCTGCAGTTTAGAAGTAGAAAATGACTTGTCCCTTTTTGGGCATATAAATTCAGCTTAGTCATTGTCTATTTTCTTTGGGTCCACAGTCTTCAGGGACAGGAAGGTGAGCTGGCAGAGGTCTCAGGTGACCTATGTCCCATTTAACAGCTGAGAAAATTGATAGAGTCAGTGGCCCATGACTACATCTGCTTGCTCTGCCATGCCATGAGAGCATATGTGTCTCCTGTCGAGGCTGTGTTTAGCCAGAAAATGGATGTTTTTAAGTTTTAAGCTGTTCTTTAGAACCTGGGGTTGGAAGCCACTGATGAAAAAGCAACCCTTCTCCACTCAGCCCCTCCTTAACTGCATCTTGTCTCCAGGCTGTATTATAGTTTTTATACATGTATATTTCACCAAGAAATTGTTCTTAGGTCTTTTTCATGAGTTTATACCCTGACTCCTCAACAATATCATGAGCTCCTCTGGGTTAGGAGCCCTGTCTTCTATTATTGTATGTGTGTGTAATATCGTGGCTAAGAAGAGTTCAGCCTCTTTCACCTCTTACTATTATAGTTATGTGGCCTTGGTCATATTATCGAACCTGTTGGTGCCTTAGTTTTATTAGCTCTTAAGTGGGAGAAAATACCACCACCTTATAGAGTTGAAATGTATTAATACATATACATTGACACAACAGTGGCATATATTAAGTTAACGTTCATTCATTCATTCAATATTATTAGGATTATTTCTGCCCTCCTTACACCCCTGTACAGAGTTCCCTAACCTTTGTGTTAGGAAGATGTCACTGATATGTCTCAACCATCCAAGTGCTTCATATAGCCTCATCTCTGGATCTTGCTGTTTCTGTTGCATGACTGAAATACTTTTTTGAGAACCTCCATGCTCTGAGGCAGGCATATAACTTGGACTCTTTAATTTTCTGTGTCTCTGTCCTTCTCCCATTTCATCCCATCCTATCCAAATCTCTCCTTTCATTCACTGAGTATTTCTGATGAGCCATATACCATACTAAAGTTTTAAAAATTATTTCATTTGCTTCTTATGAGACCTCTGTATGAGATAGAGGCCATTATTCTCCTCACTATACAGTTAAGGAATCTTAGGCTTACAGAGGTTAATTGACTTGACTGAGACTGCAGAAGTAAGAAGTGGTATGCCATTTCCTCCACTTTTCCAGTGATAATGTACTTTGAGTTGGGAGAAGACCTGCTGTGTAACTGAAGGTTGATGAAAGCCCAAGGAGCCCATGCCACTCTTCTGTTTCACTTCCTTGCAAATCACAAAAGCTGGAAAAGATGTGGATAGATGGGCATTTAGCATTTTGGATGTGCCAGGGCTGTGCTGAGTGCTGAGCATATAAAAGCACATCAGTAGCCTCAATGTATTTAGCGTCCTAGTTTATCTTTTTCTGTGTAACAAAGTATCCCCAAACTTTGTGAATTAAAATGATTTGTTATTTCTCATTATTCCATGGGTTTGGCTGAGATCACTAGACACTTTTTCTGCTCCATGTAATATTGTTTAGTTAGCTATGTCATTATATTTAGCTGGGAGCTTGGATTGAAGGTCCAAGATGGCCTTACTTAACATGTCTTGCAGGTGGTGCTGGCTGTTGGCTGGGGCCTGTCTTCCTCCCAGGGCCTCTCATGCTCCAAGGCCTCTCACTATCTGATAGGAAAGGCTAAGCTTCTTTACATGATCGTTGGCTTCCAAGAGTGTGAAAATGGAAACTACATGCCTTTGTAAGGCCTTGTTACAGAAGTCACACATCATTTCTATCACATTCCATGGGCTGAAGCAAATTAGCAGGCCAGCTCAGATTCAGGGGACAGAGAACAAGGCTCTGCCTCTTGATGTGCGGAATGACATAGGAACACAGGGATGGGAGTGATTGCTGTAGCCATTCTTGAAAACAATCTACTAGGCTCACTGTCCATTAGCTTTGTGGCCAGAAAAACAAGGTTTTAAAGCTGTAAGTATCCTTTTCTATCATCTGATTCAGCCCCTGCTAGGTTCTAAATGCTTGTATCCCTTCAAATGCATATGTTGAAACCTGATCACCAATGTGATTGAATTAAGAGGTGGAGCCTTTGGGGAGGTTATTAACTTGTGAGGGCTCTGCCTTCATGAATGGGATTAGCACCCTTATGTAACAGACCTTAGGGAAGCTCCTTCTACCACGTGAAGAAACAGTGAGAAGGTGCCATCTAAACCAGGAAATGAGCCCTCACCAGACACTGAATCTGCTGGTGCCTTGATCTCGGACTTTCTAGCTGCCAGAACTATGAGAAATGAAATTCTGTTTGTAAGTTACTCAATCTGTGTTATTTTGTTACAGCAGCCCAAATGGGCTAGTATAATCCCCTTAACTTCACAGATATAAAACTAAGACCTAGGAGGTCATGCCACAGTCATAGGCTGTCAAGTCACTTCCCTAGCCCAGCACACTTATGGAGGAGCCAGGCTTAGCCTTCCTATCCCTGGGCTGGACGCCAGAGGCCTTCAGTTAATTTGGTCCCAATGACCAGCATTAACCAGCATTGACCAGTCGTATCTTCCCCATCCTTGCCTCATATATACATTCTAAGCATGAAATGATGCTGTGTTTTACTAAATGCATGAAAAATGGCTTCATAAACCCTACCAGCTGTTATAAAATGAAATCAAACTCACTTATGTAACATGTCACAGTAGCCTATTAAGCTACAGTACGTTTTTCTAAAATCCACAGATAATTACTGCAATATGAAATGTGTTTGTTTTGAAATGGAGTGGGTGAGCCATAAATTATTTTTTAAAAAATTTTTTGAGACAGAGTTTTGCTCTTGTCACCCAGGCTGGAGTGCAATGGCGGGGTCTCAGCTCACTACAACCTTCACCTCCTGGATTCAAGCGATTCTTCTGCCTCAGTCTCCCATGTAGCTGGGATTACAGGTGCCTGCCACCATACCCAGCTAAATTTTGTATTTTTAGTAGAGACGGGGTTTCACCATGTTGGCCAGGCTTGTCTTGAACTCCTGACCTCAAGTAATCCACCTGCCTTGGCCTCCCAAAGTGCTAGGATTGCAGGTGTGAGCCATTGCACCTGGCCATAATTTTTTAATTTTCCTTAGTATAACCACAAACCTGAAAATAATTAACACTTTTTCCCAGATCTTTAGGATGCCCTTTTGGATTATTTCAAGCCTGCTGGGTGGAGGATAGATTTATTTTGTATTAAAGACAATACTTTAAATGAAATACAGTTCTGAGATTTCCCCAACACTATGGGGGATATCTGACTCCTACTGAGGATTACGGTAAATGACGAGTGATATTCTTAGATTTAGTACTCCTTGAAGACCATAAATTTCCAAAGAAGAGCTAGATGTTCCCCAAGAGAAAAAAAATGCATTAGATTTCTGCTGTATTGACTAAATTGTAAATGGAATAAACATTTCTTTTATTCTAATAGCATTTACTATATTTGTAGTTTAGTAAGTAACAATTATTCTAGATAATTTGGGAAAAACATAAGCATACAAGGGAGAAAATAAAGAACACTTATAATTTTGCCTTTTAGTCAAAACTACTCCTAACATTTTTTGTGTTTATTTTTGCCACGAGAGATAGATCAATAAATCTAGAGATTGGTGTGGAGAAAGTGATGTAGATATACATAAAGATATTTCTTTTTTAAAAAATAGGATTATACTGAAATAATTTTGCAACCAGATTTTTTGGGGGGCCAAAATATAGTAAGAACATTTTCCCATGTTATTAAGTATCCTTCTACCATGCAGGGAAAGTTAAGTCTTTTTCCCTTATTTTGACAGGACAGTGACATTGAAGCATTGACCAGGTGTTTGGAAAATGTCCTGGGTTGCCCTTCTCTAGGTGAGTAAGTTCCTTCAGACTTCAAAATATGTTGACAGCTACTGATTCTGTTGAAGTGTCCAAGAAACTGAAAACTTGGAAGAAATCTTACAGGCATTTAAGTATGATATGCTAGTATAACAGATGAAGAAACTGAGGCCAATAAAAGTTGAATGTCTGACCCAAGGGCCAGGAAACTCAAAGAAAAATTGCTTCTTATTATTGTAAGTAACTCTTAGTCTCCAAGGATGAAATAATTGATATTCAGTGTCCCTTGTAATCAAATGGTAGCCTAGCAGTGCATAATAAGTTTTGCAGTTTCTGGAAAAAGGAATCTCCCTACCTAACTTGTCTGTAGAAGCAGAGCACATTCAGTCAAGCTGAGAGGACCATCACTCTGAAGGTCAGTCAGTTATTTGAAGAGATTTGGTCTGAAAAACAAAACTAAAACTTTTTTAGCATTGTCAGTCTCAATAAATAGGATTGCTGTGCTTCAGGGATAAAGTCCTATTTCTTAGTGTCTTCTATTTTTTTTTTTTTAATCTGAAAAGCCTGACTGTGATACATTCTCACTAGATGACTAGAGAACTGTCATACAGAGTATTCTTACTAGATGAAAAGGACTGAGATTTTTTTTCTTCTAAATTTGATTACAAGTTTTTATTTAAAAATTTTTAACTGTAAACAAAAAGCAGTCTCTTCAAAGGGAATGGCAGGAGTAAAGATAATTAAGTTTTCAGGTGGACAAACATTCACTATTTTATTAGGAGATTTATGCACAATTTATAGCATTTTTCTTGCTTATTCCACATCTTCATATGGAAAGCCTCAGTCATAACATAGCTCTTTGATTTTCTCACCTGACGATCACCCTGTGATCTGTTTAATTGTATGTAAAATACACTTATTTGATACATTTAGCATTTAACATCCAACAAGTACATTTAACATCCAAGCATGACTTAAGACCAGGAAGGCTTTTTCATCTCTGGACCTCAGATTAGATGACAAATTTTCAGTCTAGGCTCCTTGGAGACCTCCAGGATGAGGGGTTGGGAGGACTAAGCAGCATGAGAACAGAAGCTGTGTCTATACGGCTTATCTCTGTTTTTCTAGAATCTAACACTATGTCTGGTGCAGAAGAGGCCCTTAAAAATATTTTAAAATATTTATGGTTGAAGGTGGTGGCTCACACCTGTAATCCCAACATTTTGGGAAGCTGAGGTTGGAGGATCACTTGAGGCCAGGAGTTTGAGGCCAGTCTGGGCAACATAGCAAGACCCTGTCTCTAAACAAATTTTTAAAAATTCAGCCAGGCATGATAGCATGTGCCTAGAGTCCTAACTCCATGGGATGCTGAGACTAGAGGATTGCTTGAGCCCAAGAGTTTCAGGTTGCAGTGAGGTGTGATTATACCACTGTACTTCAGCCTAGGTGCCAGACTGAGACCCTATCTCAAAAATATGTATTACTGTCACTGTTTCTATAAAGTAAAGGGGTATAGTGCAGTTTTCTTACACGGATATATTGCACAGTGGTAAAGTCTGAGCTTTTAGTGTAATCATCACCTGAAGAGTGTACATTATACTCATTAAGTAATTTTTTTATCCCTCATCTCTCTCCCAGCTTCCCACTTTTCTGAGTCTCTAATGTCTATTAATCAACACTATATACATATGTACACTTTATTTAACTCCTGCTTATAAGTGAGAACATTGGTATTTGACTTTTTGTTTCTGAATCGTTTCACTTACAATAATGGCCTCCAGTTCTTTCCATGTTGCTGCAAAAGACATGATTTTATTCTTTCTTTGTGGCTGAATAGTATTCCATATTGTGTGTGTCTGTGTGTGTGTGTGTGTTGCTGTTGTTATCCAGTCATCTGTTGATGGACACTTAGGTTGGTTCCGTATCTTTGCTGTTGTGAATAGTGCTGCAATAAACATAAAAGGTGCGGGTATTTTTTGATACAATGATCTCTTCCTTTGGGTATATACCCAGCAGTGGGATTGCCGAATTGAATGATATTTCTTTGTGAAATCTCCATACTATTTTTCATACAGGGTGTACAAATTTATATTCCTACCAACAAGGTATAAACTTTTTTTTTCTCTACATCCTCATCAACATCTGTTATTTTTTGTCTTTTTAGTGATAGCCATTCTGACCAGTGTAAGATGATATCTTCTTGTGGTTTTAATTTGCATTTCGGTGATGATTAGTGATGTTGAACATTTTTTTTGACATTTATATGTCTTCTTTTAAAAAATGCCTGTTCTCACATTTCCTTTGCCTACTATTTGAGTGACTTTGTGTGTGTGTGTGTGTGTGTGTGTGTGTGTGTGTATTATGGTTGTGTTAGTTCCTTATAAATTCTGCATATTAGTCCCTGCCGGATTCATAGTTTGCAGGTATTTTCTCCTATTCTGGAGATCGTCTGCTTATGCTCTTGATTTGTTCTTTTGCTGTGCAGAAACATTTTAGTTTAATTAAGTCCCATTTGTCTATTTTTGGTTTTGTTGCTTGCACTTTTGTAGTCTTAGTCATGAGTTCTTTGCATAGACCAATGTCTAGAAGAGTTTTCCCCCCCAAAAAAATTTTTTTTTATTCCAATAGGTTTGTGGGGACCGGGTGGTGTTTGGCCATATGAATAAGTTCTTTAGTAGTGATTTCTGAGATTTTGGTGCACCCATCACCCGAGCAGTGAATACTTTATCCAATGTGTAGTCTTTTATCCCTCACCACACCCCCACCCTTTCCCCCAAGTCCCTAAAGTCCATATGGATCACTCTTACGCCTTCATGTCCTCATAGCTTAGCTCCTACATGAGTGAGAACATAGGCTGTTTGTTTTTCCATTCCTGAGCCACTTCACTTACAATAGGTCTCTGATGCCATCCACGTTGCTGCAAATGCCATTATTTCATTCCTTTTCATCGCTGAATAGTATTCCATGGTATGTGTACCACATGTTTATGTGTATCACATTTTCCTTATCCACTGGTTGATTAATGGACATTTGGGCTGGTTCCATATGTTTGCATTTGCAAATTTTGCTGCTGTAAACATGCACATGCAAGTATCTTTTTCATATAATTACCTACTCTCCTCTAGGTGGATACCTAGTAATGGGATTGCTGGATCAAATAGAAGATCTACTTTTAGTTTTTTTAAGGAATCTTCATACTGTTTTCCATAATGGTTGTGTTAGTTTACATTCCTATCAATAGCATAAAAGTGTTCCCTTTTTACTGCATGCATGCCAACATCTTTATTTCCTGACTTTTAAAGTTCTGGCCGTTGTTGCAGGAGTGAGGTGGTATCATATTACGGTTTTCATTTGCGTTTCCCTGATACTTAGTGATGTTGAGCAATTTTCCATATGCTTGTTGGCAGTTTGTATATCTTCGTTTGAGAGTTGTCTAGTTATGTCCTTAGCTCACTTTTTGATGGGATTTTTGTTCATTTCTTGCCGATTTGAGTTCCTTGTAGATTGTGGATATTAGTCCTTTGTTGGATGTATAGATTATAAAGGCTTTCTTCCATTCCGTGGGTTGTTAACTCGGCCGATTATTTCTTTTGCTATGCAGAAGCTTTTTAGTTTAATTAAGTCCCACATATTTATCTTTGTTTTTGATGCATTTGCTTTCAGGTTCTTGGTAATGAAGTCTTTGGCTAAGCCAATGCCTGCAAGGATTTTCCCGATTTCTAGAATCTTTATGGTTTTGGGTATTAGATTTAAGTCTTTGATTCATCTTGAGTAGACTTTTGTATAAGGTGAGAGATGAGGATCCAGTTTCATTCTGCATGTGGCTTGCCAATTATCCTAGCACCATTTGTTGAATAGGGTGTCCTGTCCTTTTCCTAGTTTATGTTTTTGTTTGCCTTGTCGATCACTTAGCTATAAGTATTTGGCTTTATTTCTGGGTCCTCTATTCTGTTCTATTGGTCTATATGCCTGTTTTTATACCAGTACCATGCTGTTTTGGTGACTATGGCCTTATAGTATAGTTTGAAGTCAGGTAATGTGATGCCTTCAGATTTATTCTTTTTGCTTAGTCTTGCTTTGGCCATGTGGGCCCTTTTTTTTTGTTCCATATGAAGTTTAGGATTTTTTTTTAGTTCTGTGAAGAATGATGGTGGTATTTTGATGGGAATTGCATTGGATTTGTAGATTGCTTTTAGCAGTATGGCAATTTTCACAATACTGATTCTACCCATCCATGATTATGGGAGTGTTTCCATTTGTTTGTGTCATCTATGATTTCTTTCATCAGTTTTTTTGTAGTTTTCCTTATAGAGATTTTTCACTTACTTGGTTACATGTATTCCTTGGGTTGCTTTTTTTTTTTTTTGTAGCTGTTGTAAATGGAATTGCCTTCTTGATTTCGTTCTGAATGTGATTGTAATTGGTGTACAGAAATGCCGTAGACTTTGGTATGTTGATTTTGTATCCTGACATTTTACTTAATTTGTTCATCTAATCTAACAGTTTTTTGGATAAGTCTAGCATTTTCTAGGTATAAGATCATATGATCAGCAAACTGAGATAATTTGAATTTCTTTTTTCCAATGTGGGTACTATTTATTTTTTTTCTCTTGCCTGGTTACTCTGGGTGGGACTTCCAGGACTATATTGAATAGGAGTGATGAAAGTGGGCATTCTTTACTGGTACCAGGTTTAGGGGAATTGCTTTCAACTTTTCCCCATTCAGTATGATGTTGGCTGTAGATTTGTCATATGCGGCCTTTATTATTTTGAGGTAGGTTTCTTCTATGCCTCGTTTGTAGATGGTTTTTATCATGATAGAATGCTGACTTTTTTCAAATGCTCTTTTTCTGCATCTATATAGATGATTTGGTTCTTTGATCTGGTTCTTAAAAAATTTATGTGGGTACATAGTAGGTGTTTATATTTATGGAGCACATGAGATATTTTAAAATAGGCATACAATACATAATAAGCATATCATGGAAGCTGAGGTTTGGGTTTGGAAAAATGCTTGGGGCACTTCCTGGAGC